AAAGCAGTCGGAATAGCTTCTTTACGAAGCTTGCGGGGGCATTGTCGTTTTACAGCAACGACCAGGTGTGGCATATTCTACCTGAAGCTTGGGTTGTGAGGATAATGTGAAGGTACAACCATTTTCGAAACGTCTCTATTAGTTTCTGTTTTGGATACCCAGCAGCACACTGCACTGCTTAAGTTAGTACTTTATGCCTAAGCCACCTAAAAACGACCCCCGCCTGGCGGACAATGTCATCGTATCATTTCTTTATTTAAAAGAGCCATCGATCGCTCCTAATTCGACTGCATCAGGTGCTATTGCATTGGTGGGATGTAGTGCACCACCAAACTTCCTACAGCAGAACATAAATGAGACAATACTTGCTGATTTTCCAGCTTTACTTTTGGGGCTGTAGAGTAGTTCATTGAGGCGTTAAGTGCCTCCAGCCGGGTGTGGAGGGTAGAACAAAACTGAGTTACTCTACCCATTTACATTTAAAACGTCCTTGGCCCTTTCGCGTCCAGTAGTTAGATGGCCCAACTATGCAGCAGGAGCCAATCGCGGGTCTTGATCTTTCGTCCTGTCGAGCTTCCGTTGCAGTGGAAAACGGGTTTCCTCCTTCACCGGAAACCTTCAGTGTAGAATTATCGCCGCAAAATTCATCGAATATGGGGAACAAAAACCTTAGCACTTTGTGTATGCCACACAATATAACGCGACTCCAACTTGTGCGTTGGCCGAATGCAGCCTTGCCGCTACACTCTAACAAGCTTAGACGACCTAGCGGCGAATATGTACCCGGCGAAACCTTCCCTATACAAATATGAGCGGGATAACTGCGGCCTGTAGTCTGCAGGTAGTCCTCTGCTTAAGTTTTATAGCGCTGCATGTATTTGAAATGTTCTTCCCAGATAGACCTCTGGCAGGTTAGCACGCCTGTTTGAGCAATATACTAGTTACTACAGAGTAGAACAGCATCATACAGGTAGTGTTACCACAGCAGATATGATAACGCGGGGGATCGTGGGTAGCTGTTGGCCAGTTGGTCAAGCAAGACGAGCAGTGCATTTACCGCTCCCTAACCTTGCAGCCTGTCCATCCGTCCGTCCGTCTGTCAATCAGTCCGTCGCTTTCATCTCTTGCTGCTTTTACCTGCCTTTTCGCATGGCTACACTCGGCCTTTCTAATACCGTTTCGTCCCATCTTACCGACCGCGCTTATTTCTGACTCGACCTAACTATGCCAAAATTACAAATATATCCAAAAGCGTTACACAATTAACTCGCGCCCTGGTTGGGCAATACCTGCCGACCTGCGACACTGACTGGATCTGTCGCACGATCAGACCGTCTATCGCCGTCGCGATTGGACGTGATGTAAACATTTCTGCCGAGCACGAAACGCATCGATTGGTTGCAAACAGCCAGGCGAGCTGCGCAGATACTTGATTATTGACATTTAGCTACGCAAAACCTGTCGTATGTACTGCAAATCGGGCACAGTAACCACTTTATTTTCTAAGAGCTCTGCACCCTTCTAAAATAGAGATTTTTATTATTATTAATGTAGACTTCACAGACCAGTATTTTGTAAGAGCTCTGGGATGTTATTTTCCACACACTTCTTAAAGTAAAGACGATATTAATGGTATTAATATGATTAATATAAGCTTCACAGGCCGCATTTGTAAGAGCTCGGCGATGCTATTTTCCACACACTTTCTAAAGTAGAGACGATAGTATTTTTAACATTAAAGTAGACTTCACGACCAGCGCTTTTTGTAGCGACTTTGCGAATATTTATATTTTGTACTTTACCTGGAACTCACCACTGCCACCGTGCAATGAAGGCGCGCAGCTGCACGGGCATTTCGCTATCTGCTCCCGTGCACCACACCCGACAGATGCATGCGCGCACGATAGATAATTGTCTTAGGCAATTTATATTGCATGTAAAGTATGTTTTTGTTTGGAAATCTGATAATAATATATTATAGCAAAGCCAAAACGTAAGTACCATATGTTTCTAAATATTCAATACCAGCCTTATATTTCCAAGCTATTGGCTAATATTTGGACGCAAGTAATTGGTTAAAACAAAATATTTTGCTAACATACGCACAGTTTGCAAAATGGTGGGCTCTACGTGCAAGCAATGCGAGGCGAAGATTGACCCGCTTCTGCTGAGCCCGCAGCGGTCTACGACGGACCCCCGAGCGCGCTGCGTCTGCTGCGGGAAGCTGCAGTACGGCTACGCATTCCGTACAATCAGCGGGCGGGACATCGTGCGGCGCTATATTGCCCAAAAGCGGTTGAGTTTTGGGAGGAAAGCCCCCACCACCTGATTCGGCCGAAGTGCGCCGCCAGGAAAGCCTGGCGAACGTCAAGAAGGCGATGGGTCCCGACTGGTACCCCAAGGAAAAAAAGAGGCGCAGCCGCCCTCGCAAGCTGACCGCCCGAAACGCCAATTACATCGAGCAAAAGAAGCAGCAGAAGAGCAAGTAATTTGGATAATATATCCTTATTGCCCTTGTTACCCCGCTTATCTTTGTATTTTGTATACTGGCGGGCGGCGCGAGGCTTGGGGCCGCACATATGGTAAACTAACTGTGGTGCTGCCAATTGTGTTGACGCACCTACGGAGTGTAGCGCGTTTCATATAATAATTAGCGCATGGTATCTACTGTGTACACTTGCGAGCTGGCCGTTTCTATCTGCATACGCGTTACCGTAGATGGAAAGTACACTAGCTCACTTGGCACACGCAAACCCATGCTATATGTACCACCAACCCTCACAGTTTATATTTCACTTATGTGCGCTCACGAATGTAAGCTTTAGTATTGAGTGAGCACTATGCGCGATGAATAAGCTGCTGTCTACATGGACACAGCCACGTATGCGGTAGTGATGACCATACAAGCGGCCATCGCAAGGAGATGTGTCTGTACGCAGTACTTTACTTTAGCGCCCTGTCCATAATGGCCGAGATAAGAGCTCGGTTGAGTCACGGATGGCTATAATGTGTACCCGCCGCGCGCGTATGTATTGCTTTGAATACTGCTAACAGACGCCTGATCAGCTTGCCTGTATCACCGCGGGTATGACCTGTGCCCGAATAGTGACGTGCTGGATCATATAGACGGATACATCATAATCGTAGGTACAGTAGGCTAGCACGACGATACAAAAGTACCGAGATCGCAGCAGTAACCCAGTGCATGGGTGTTGGCTATCACGACAACACCCATTGGCGGCATTGCGGGATATGCACGGACACATCAAATAGCACGCCGAGCTGATAAGTAGGCAGCGAAAGTACTCCATCTAATGTACATGAACTATTATTCAATTCAAGTCTAACCATCACTACGATCTGATACTCTGCCTACAGCCATATATCTTCGTATGTTGCAGCCGGTCAAAAGAATGTGCACGCAGTGGTGCCTCTTCGTCCGATGTGGACGAGGCCTTTTGTCGTACATATCGGACCCAGTATAATGTCAGTCGGAAAGGATTTACGCCACTCTGTCAGTCAGAAGCTATACAAATAAGTCAGAAAGTACGTCAGCTATGCAAGTAAGATAAATGCATGCGGAAGATAGTGGAAATACCCTTCAGTTACATCACAAACAGCTCAGCAGAATAATTTTAAAGCATAATATTGATGTTTGTGGCGACCATCGGCAAATACTACCTATCCTAAAAGATACTTCGCGCACCAGCCAACCATGCCCTAGCGTCCGCGGAGCGGGCGCCCAGGGCGCTAGTCTTAAACATCTACTGCAGCAACCTGTCTGTCCGTCACACTAAATTGTCGTGCCTGTCACGCTTTTCCGGACAAATCATTGGATAAAATAATTGAAATATTTCTACTGGCTGCCGAGCGCAGCGAAGGTGGCCCCGATTGGCCCAAAAGCTGACGAGCGCAGCGAGGCGGCCCAAATCGGCACCTTCTGCAACCCTGCGGGCCTTTGGGCCCGCCTGATCCACAATTTGCCAACCTACCGTGCGAGTAGTGAAGCGAGCCCGTGGCGAGCGGAACGGAGGCAAAATACAAGGAGCGACATTCATTCTTACCCGCCGCGTAGCGGCGCTAGTTCCTAACAAATGTAGCGTCACCAGAATTATAATTTTACTGAAGAGACGAAAAAGTGCGAAATCTGCAAATCTGGATAGCGATAAGGTGAAGATTCGGAAGTTTGCGAAACGTCTCTATTAATTCGGATGAATCTGGTGTAGCCGAAGCTGGCACACTTAGACGCAGAAGAGTCTGTCGCTAGATCCCCGCTATGTCTAACAATCGACATCCGGAAAACATATCAAAAACATGCCTTAAAAAATGCTACTTTGAGGTATGAAACACGATCCATAAAGCAGAAACTGCGGCTGTGAGGTCCACAGTAAGTGCGTGAGTCTATTTAATCAAATGCTGTAAGAATAAATTAAATTTAAAAATAGTTAAGGTGCATGGGCTTGATTATCGTAGTCAGCCTATTCATGTGATCTTAGCAAGGCCTGCTTCGCAGCTGCATAAGTCTTACATTATTAAAAAAAATAGGTACAAATTATAAACATATAAATTAGTCTTGCTTATCTTAGCACAAGCTGGTCATGTTTCTTAAGCACATTTATAAAAATACTACAGTAGTAAAGATTTACATCATCACAGTACCAACCAAACTAATTGAGGTAGCGTCCAAAAATTACCAATTTTATGGTACATCCCGCGATAGTAGTTTCCTTGGGTGAGAATAAAAAGCGGTCTACCGAGGGATATGTCTGTATCACCCTAAGTGAGCCTCTTTTGAATGCACGCGATGAGGGCATTACACGATAGAAGGTATAATTCAGGAAATTCCGTTATCATTTTGGACAAAAGCAACAGCATCGACTGTCTGCATTGAAGGTCGCAGAAAAAAGAAAAACTCGTGGCTTGTATTTTGAGCTAAACGCTACAAGCATCATTTGCTCACTCGTACCATGATACTCGTTGAGACTAACAGGGCATGACCATTAAAAAGAGAAGGACCCACTTGACGTCTGACCGCAAGGTCCGTCGTAGCCCATTCCAACGCGACGCTCAGGGTGCTCGCACATGACAGAGGTCAGGTCACAAAGGCTCGCATAGGTGACGTTGTCGTTGCCACAGACTGGGCCCACGTGGTCTTTGCAATTCTTCTTGTTGCACGGGTCCAGAGCAACAATTGTCGATGAGATCGTCACGGCTAGGAAGACGAGGTAGAAAGCGACTTTCATCTTGGAAATGAGCGAGGGGAAGGTGCTGCTTGTCTTGCAAATTGAAGAATGAACTGCGAGCAGCCATGACTTCTACTTCTGATTGCATGGAAATTGTACGACGCACTTTGAAGCCGCAATCTGAAAGGTGCAGTACTGGATACTGGCACAATGCACTACTAACCCGTAATCACAAGTACAATGCAGTGTTTAAAATAGGGAGCACAGCTACAGGAGAGAATGCCCCCATAATTATATCCTCCTGATTACTTTATACTTAAGTGAGTTTAAAGAAGGGTAGCTTTAGGCTGGGAGGACAGTCGCAATTCAATAAAAGCGTTTGTCGTAGTCTGTGTGAAAATAATGCCTCTACTCATTTAAGTTTATAGCTGCTTAAACTAACAAAATCTCGAGCGCTCAAATAGACTATTATAGCTATTTTTAGGCGCGAACGGATAGCAGCACACTAAACATTGTTGAGTCTAGGGCCAACCTGGTGTTTTCTTACACAAGCCATTTTTACAGACCGGCTGGAGGTTTGCCGCTATGTTCGCACTGATGTTTTCTACCAATCTACAAACACCATTTTTTCGTTTACTAATATGATTATAATATTCAATTGCTCGGATAATGGTAACTCAAGAAACTGCGCATGGAAAATTAGAGTAGAACGCGAATATCGAGGCTGTCGTACTCACCTTTTTTTTGTTTTCAAATATAGTGTTCTTATTGGACAAAACATGGTGAGTTTTTACACATTACAGTACAAGTATTCTAGATTTTTCGTGAGCCTTCTTTCCTGCGGCGCTCCTCGTTGACTATTATTATTTGAAAACACCTCTCAATATTGATAAGAGTAGTGTTATTTATCGATCGAAGTTAAGCCTTATCAAAAACAATGATGTTATATTTCAAGAAAAAATCAAGTGTAGTAGTGGGCTGACCGCCTTAAAATTACGTGTATGAAGTAAAGTAAGCTCTGTACTTGTACCAAAAAAAAGCACTATACTCCTATAATTTGTCACTGCAGATTAAGACGCACCAGCGATGCGTACAATTCATTCTACAGAGCTACTTTAGGGTCCCATCACTTACAATAAACCTCCGTTTTCGAGCATGGCCTCACGATAATTCTCGTGGAGCCATCTTAACATGTCCAGACTCAGATACCTTACAATCTTGGCAGCGCTTGAGCACCCTCCCCGCTTAGCTCGATGTAGAAACAAAACGACTTCAAACGACAGAGACAGCGCAGCGTTTTCCATAGCGAAAGGCGGGAACTCTTCACTGTAATTCTCAAGCAGCCACTTGATGACATCTAAGTGGCCAAGAAGAGCCGCTTTGTAAAATGCTGAGCGTGTGCAGCCTTCAGAGCGATTTTCGTGAAGCCATTTTACAAGGCGCAGTGCTCCACAAGAGACCGCACCGTCCATAGCAGCCTTCGTGCATCCTTCGGATCTGTGGTCTTGGAGCCACTTGACCGCTTCCAAGTGTCCGCCGCTAGCAGCTCCGTCCATGGCATCTACAGAACATTGGAAGCCGCGTTCATGTAGCCACTCCAAAATTTCGATATGACCTCCAGAAGCAGCGCTATCCATCGCACTGGCAATCCAATCCTTCTGTATGTTGTCGCATAGCCACTGCACGACTTCGAAATGTCCATTTCGAGCAGCGAGACTCATAGCTTGTGTCGTGCAGCCTTCACTCTCATTCTCAAGAAGCCAACGTAGAACGTTTAAATGTCCATTGCCAGCCGCGCCATCCATTGCTGCGGTGGTGTAACCAGGCTTAGACGGCTCAGTCTGTAGCTCAGTTTCTCTCGGTGACGAAGGATACATGTATATCGGTTGACCTAGAGTCATATCCGGATACTTCCGCAGTCGTCTTCTTTTATTTTTATTCTCTTCAGTGACGTCTTTTGCAGCTTCGTGGAGATATTGGAGGACCTCAAAGTGTCCATTTGTCGCAGCAGCGTCAAGCACACTTTCATGTTGTTTTGTATCTTGGTTACAAGACCAAAAGAGGTTAAGTGTTGGATCGCTGCTGTATGTCGTATAGAGCCACTGGACGACATCGAGCAATCCTTTCGTAGTAGCAAGGAGCATGGTTGCGCCTGAGACCCTCTTGGCTTCAATATTTAACCCAAGGTATTTAACCTGTTCAATTATCGGACAGTGTCTCGCTAGCTCGATAGTCTCATCATTAGCGTTTAGAGGCCAATCAACACGAGCGTGCAGATACTTGGCTACATCCAGATGACCATTCACAGCCGCGTTGTGGATGGCAAGACTGGCTTCACCACCCACACTGGTAATATGCTTTCGAGAATGTAAATCATCATCAAAAGGAGAGCCAGCGTCATCACTCTCTTGGTCGCTTGAGGTGTCCATACTCCAATCTCTGTCAATGATCCAACGCACTACAGCCATCTGACCTGCATCAGCTGCTTTCAGTAATAACCCAACAGTGTCGTCTTGAATATAACCCTCTTCTGTAAGGAACTCAAGCATGGTGATATGTCCATTGGCAGCAGCATCATGGACCCCTTTACAAGGAACAATGGTCAGTCTCTGTAGTAGCCACCTCAATAGAGTCACATCTCCACTTGCGACGACCGCTTTCAGCGTTTCTTCATCGTTTCTAACGTCACTGCCAGCATTCTCATAGAGCCACATAACCACTTCACTATGGCCAGCAGCGGCGGCTTTTGCAGCGTCTTCATAGCCCCAGTCAATAGTGTGAGTTTTACCTTCGTTGTCCTCGTCCTCGTCGTCAAGGGCGTTGACGTTTACACCCTTTTCAAGCAAATATTGGAGGATTTCTATACTCCCGACAGCTGCAGCTTCCTCCACACACTTTTGAACCACCATGAGAGCAGGAAAATGTTCGCACAGCCATTGGATCATCTCCAGATTTCTCAGTTGTATGGCTTTGACTATAGAGAACGTGAACTGGAAGCCTCTGTAATGAGTTTCGGTCTGAAGGAGATTGCGTATACTCCAGGAGGTGTCGGAAGAGGCGGCCAGCTCGATGGAGCTATCCCAGATTCGATCTAACAGGCGCGTTGAATTGAACTGGCAGGCTTTCTTAATGGGCAGCTCCAACGCTGAGTCTAGGAAGGTGGTGACGGAGTCGACGACGTGAGTTAAGCTCAGAGACTCGAATGCAGGCTTCGAGCGGAAGATAAGCGTCACGGCAAGCAGCGGGGCAACGCCAGCAGTTGTCATGGCGGCTCAACTGACAGTATACAAGAGTGTTATTGGTCTAAAAGATTAATGGTGTTTGTCCGTTTTGTTTCAGATTCTAAAAAAGAATAAAAGTAAAAAACTAGATTTTCTCAAATGGCAAGAAACAAAACATGATCCAAACACTTGTGTAGGGAAATCAGTCCATGTATGTATTTGTGCATGCATTGGCACCTATGTTCATGAGATGTGCTATACGTCCATGTGCCAGACTTCAACTTGGGGATCAGTCCATGTATCACGGAGCTTTGTCTGCATAACGGCTTCGATATTTGAGAACCATTTATTTAATCGTGCGTTGCCGTACATTTGTCGTATAACTGCTTACAGTTTCTATAGCGGTGGTAACAGGGTTACACGCAAGTGGCTACATAGCCACTTGGTTACGAAAAGAGGTTTTCCACATTGGGTAAGATACCAATGGATACACATTCATTGATTGAAATTCAATAACGTCAACCAATTAGAATACTAGGATATTGTCAACCATTCGTTGATAAATACCCTTCATGTAGAATATTGGATTAGGAGGAAAACCTAAACAAGCAAATAAACAGCTCTCATTCTACCAGAAAATGGCTTTGCTTTCCTATTTAAGTAAATCTATACTTTCGGACGAAAGTTTAGTTAATCTTAGTGAAACGTAACTTACGCTTCCTCATACACGTGCGCTAGTGTGTAAGCCGAAGTAGTGGGCTTAAAGTAGGCCCATTACACCTGGTAACATTTTCGAGTCCGTCCAACGACCGACTAACTAGCGAGCTCGTATGGAATACGTACACGGGGTGGAGAACCAACCCTTGGACAGCAACCCGTTCATGCGTAGCTCAAGTGCTTCTACCACGCACATTATGCGCGCAGACTGTCTTTATCTGGCGGATCCAGAGTGGGAAGCCCTCCAAAGACTGTCAGCAGTCATTGGAGACGCAGCCGTAGCGACAATGCCACGCACGCTGTTGCCGATATCAAAGCGCGGTGTTGCTCTGGGATTCATCGTTATCGAACAGCGAGATGCTGCTGTGGTGTAGGGATTTCCAGATTCGACCATACGCCGACCTACTTTAGGTCAAGAATCGGCTCGGTCTGATAACCCAGAGCTTAGGAGCCAAGGATCACGGTAAGTACTCGGCGATCTGTCCGGATATGCTATCCGGATAGCCGCTGAGCTCAACGGCCGCCTGAAGAGTCGGTAGAGATCCGAAACGACTACATTTCACTAGATATTTGTATGAGAAGCATAGGATTAAATAGGAGGAGCCGAAAAGGCTCCCAGAAGATAACAGAGCAGAATTTTCCTAGTCCAAGACACGTGTACACTTTTCCGGTAAGTCCCTGCATAGGGCTGGATTATGCCTGCCGTCAATACTCGAGAGGCATAGCTTGTAGAGTATTGACTGGTAGCGCCAAGAGATTAGGTCGGTCCGGGTAGGACAAAGTCTCGCTACGCGCGAAAGAAAGTCCCGCATACTCAGCGGGCCGGTACGTCGGATAGCCCGGGTGCCGTAACACTTCTAGCTGAGCAGCCTCTGCGCTCGGTGACCTGTAAAAGCGCTCGCGCGCCGTCGTCCATCCTTTGGTGGAGGGCACAGGGTTGTGAACGAGCTCAGCCGAACCAAACTCGGCGGAGTCTCGTAAGTGATCTGACTTGGTTAGTCGGAACCGAGTGGAAACGAGCCACTCGTCTGTCCCGGAAGGGCCGGACCGCGAGGAGACCACCCTCTGCGCAGGCCATACAAACCGCCGACCTAACTCGGCGATTCGTTGTGGTTTGTGTAAGGAATCCACATCTGACGATATTTGTGTGTTCTACTACACCACAACTGGTGCCGCGACCCGGGAACAGGAGTGTGTGCTTGTTTTTATAGGTGCCAGCTAACCAAGTTAAGAGGAAGAGAAGAGAAAGAGAAGAGTGAAGATGGTCAAGGGATCAGCAACTCCGAGCGACGGAAGCCCAGCGACGGCTGGAGGATCGCCTCTCGTGGGGTCGGACCCGGCGGATCAACGACTCATCGCCATGACGATGGAGGTGGGACGAACCGTCCAGTTCGACGAGGATGGCCAAGACCAGGAGAGCGAGAACGGAGACGCAAGTGAAGGAGAGTATGAAGAGAAGGCCGAGACCGCTGAGCTCGGAGAAACGAAGACTACCGCCGAGCTACTTGGCGAGGTGGAAGAGTTGACGCTGCAGGTGGGACGCATGGGAGCCCCACGTCCTGTCGAGCGCAATTTATCCGCCGAGCTCGACGAAGGTGCGGACGATGAAGAAGATGAAGAAGACCATGGCGTTGCTCAAGGGGACCGTCCGCCCCTTATTCCAAAAGCGACGAGGAACGCCGATACGCCGAGCGCCAATAAAGTGTTGGCTCGACTCGGCGAGGAGATGAGAACGAGATCGGAATGGATGATGATGTTCGCGCCTGTGGCGATGGCGCAGGCGAAGTGGCCGATGTTGGGTCCCGAGTTAACTCAGCCGGTGCGTGCAGCCAACATCAATCAGTTGGTGGAAGAAACTGTGTTGCTGTTGAAGGCGATGGGCTATCGGTGCAACAGCCGACCAAACAGCCTCATTCTGTCCGACTGGAGTCTGACCCGTGGCGGAGCCGAGCTCTGGCAATGGAAGAAGAAGCTCAGAGTGGCGTTTGGATTGGAGAAGGCCCCTGGCGGAACGAAGAAGGTGTACAGCCGAGTAGCCGAGTTCAAACCACTCGGCGAGGACCCGAGCAAGATTCCTTTGCCGAAAACCCCGGAGACGAAGAGACGTGAAGTGTTCCGCGCTACGCAAGGGACTCCGTACTTCGAAGACTCTCACATGCTGACTCCATTAAAGCTAAACCCGACTCAGCGAGCGCCGAGTCGTGGGCAGCGAAATGTAGGTCGTTATCGTGAATTGTATGACGCTGCAGATGAGGCTGAGGCTTACGAGGAGGATGAAGAAGACGGCGACGCCTTCGACGTGAGAGGCAACCGTGAAGAAACCGTGAAGGACTACATTCGAAACTTGAGCTTTGACGCGGCTGAAGAAGACTCGACGCAGTACCTAGAAGTCCGAACCCACGCCTCGCTCGACAAAATCGCCGAGTTCGAAGGAAAGCGCTACCGCTCTGACGCGTCGCTCCAGTGGCTCAAGCGGTTCATCTACGAGATGAAGAGCACCAGGATGCCCCAAAGTGCATGGTGCGAGCCTTTCTCGCTATGCTTGGGACGCGCGGCGAAGAGTTGGTACAGGCAGCTGCCGAAGAAGACTCAGCGACGTTGGAAACTACTCAGCGAGGCGTTCCTGGATTATTACTGCTCACAGTTCGACCAATCCGCCCGCACTCGTTACTACTCGGCGAGACGTAAAGTCAACGAACCGATCTGCGACTTCCTGATCCGACTCAACGGGTACGCTCGGACAGCCAAGATCCAGTACGAGAGGGGTGGCGCCGACGCAGCTGACCATGTCGAACACTTCTTGCTGCATTGTGGTGATGACGATGTGATGGATTTAATGTACCCCTTGCAGTTGGAAGACATCAGTAAGGTGGAACAGATAATCAATCGTCGGATCCTCGGCGAGAAGCGTAAGAAGCAACGCGACCGACTCGTGACCGCACGAAGCCGAGATGACAAGCGGAAGGATCAGAGCCGCCGAGATGAGAAGCGCAGTCGCAAGGAAGAAAACCGCGACCGCCGAGTCACTGTCGTTGACGCTGACTCCGACGGAGAGGAACTCATCGATCAGAACCCGCCGAGTCCGTACAACTCCGAAGACGAATGGGATGATGAGGACCAGTCCGGAGGACACGACTCAGCGGAAGACGACGACTACATTGACGTCGGCGTTTCCAATGATAAGGGAAATACACCGGACCGCCGAGAGAACTCGGCGGGAGACCAGAAAGGCTCGAACCGAAGCTGGGGAAACTCAGCGAACCGACCTCCGCGACCGTACAACCAGCGAGAACAGTCGAATCGTGGAGATGGATCACGCGACAACACCCAACGAGGACCTTGTGCAGCTTGTGGAAGAATGGGGCACTCGGCTCACTACTGTCGACGACGCTGCAAATTCTGCAGACAAGTCCATGAAGGCGGCCAGTGTGAGCTGTTCCGCCAATATGAGAAGCTGGCTGCGTTCGTGAAGAACTCTGTCGACAAGTCGCAAGTGCCAGAAGACCTGCAAAACCTTTACGCGCCGAGTGATTTAAACTCGGCGGCCCGCCAACACTGACTGGGTTGGAATATGCCGGGCTGCCACAGTCAGCTGAACCTGCAGTTGAGGCGAACTTCTTGTTTGCCTTCGTAGGCGAAGCAGGACGGCCCGAGGGAAGAAGCGGGGATGGCAATCGGATGTGTGAAATCGACGGAATTGAACGTGAGCTCGGTGAGTTAGATGATAACAACCGAGCGATTGCAAGTGTAACTCGGCAGTCAGACCAGGCTGTGCATCGTACCAGGATAATGAAGCTGCTTCCAGGAAAGCGGCTGGGATGGTGGTCAGCACAGACGTTTGATCGCCGAGTTAGAATGAGAGCCCTCGTATTGGGTGCAGTGAACGACCGAAGGACCAAGATATTATTGGATACCGGAGCAAATGTCTCGGCGATCAGTGAGTACTTCGCGAGGAAACTGCGTCTCAAGAGAGTGGCCAGCCGAGATAAGCGAATTGACATACAAGGAATAAGTAAAGACAGGATGGTGACAACGTCAAGAGCAGTGGTGAAGGTGACACTCGGCTGGGAAGTGGCATACGAGTTTGAAGTATGGATAATGCCTCATCATGCCGGAGTCGATTTGATTCTCGGCACCGACTTTATGATCCCAGCTGGAATACGTCTGGATCTGTACAACTCGGCGGTCAAGCTACCCGATGAGATGGTGATACCACTCATCCGGTCAAGTAATGCACCGACCAAGACCGAGTTCGGACCAAATGTACCATGCGGGCCACCAGACGGGTTGACGATCGAAAGTCGAATGACCGCTGAGTTCAAATTACC